CTCCAAAAGTGCAATATCAAGCTTTCTCCATCCAAAACCATTATTTGACCGCGCAGTACCACCATCTTAGGTTGGATTTGGACACAGGAATGCCTATCCGCAAGCACACATAATTGCTACAATGTCATCGTGTCCGCCTCCCGATACGGTACGGGGTCTTCGCTCATTTATAGGAGTCTACAAAGTCCTCAGACGTGTTGTACCACAGTGTGCTCACATCATCGCACCATTGGAAAGTGCCATCGCAGGACAACAATCATGTGACAAGATCAAGTGGTCAGATACTCTGTCCCAACAATTCAAGTTCGCTCAATCCTCCCTGGCGAATAACAAATCTATTACCCTTCCCAAACCATCCGACAAACTATGGATAGTAACCGATGGCTCTGTAACCAAAAGAGGAATCGAAGCTACCTTTTACGTATCACGTCATCAAACCCTCCTCCTCGCAGGATTTTTCAGTGCCAAGTTAAGAAAGCATCAGTAAACTGCGTCGAGGTGAATTTTCAGCGAGCCCTCGCGTTACGTCATTTTTATCCATCGTCAGCAGGTACCAAGCGGACATACAACACCTCGCTGGCTCAGCGAATGTTCCCTCGGATTTCGCCAGTCGAAACGCACCAGAGTGCAATGAACCGAAATGCCAAATTTGTAACTTCATTTCGACCACAGAAGATTCCGTAGTTCGGTCCACCTCCGTCCAAGACGTACACCACCTCCCCCGCTTACCTTTTACAACCCGATCTGCCTGCATCCAAATACAATCCAAGTGTCCCGACCTACGCAGAACACATGCTCACCTGAAACAAGAAACACGTCCCTCTAAGAAATTAACAAATGTAAAGGATGTTAAACGTTACCTAAATTCCCTGTCCATTGCCAAAGATGGTTTATTAGTGGTTCGTAGAACCGACCCTTTATCACCCTCCACCGAGTTGATCGTAGTACCACGCTCCGTACTTGACGGTCTTGTAACAGCCTTACATATCAAACTCGACCACCCGTCAAAACACCAACTCCAACTGGTGATGAGACGCAACTTCTTCGCACTTGACATGCTAGCTGCCATCGCTCGTGTGAGTGACACATGTCACACGTGTGCCTCCCTGAAAAAGCTCCCACCTCAAGTTGTACAGCATAGCACGGAAGAACCACCCAAGGTCGTTGGAGTTTCATTTGCCGCAGATGTCCTTAAGCGGTGTAAACAAACTATCATAGTCGTTCGCGAAACAACAACATCCTTTACCGCAACGTCTATCATCCACGACGAGAAAGCCAACACACTTCGTGATGCTCTAGCTAAGTTATGCAGCGAGCTGCACCCCATGGAAGGTCCACCGGCCATCATCAGAGTCGATCCCGCCCCTGGTTTTGTTGCACTGCGAACCGACCCAACCCTTAAACGCCTCGGCTTATCCCTAGAGATCGGACGCGTTAAAAACTCTAATAAAAACCCAGTGGCAGAGAAGGCCATCGCTGAACTCGAAGAAGAAATCCTCCGCCAAGCACCCAATGGTGGTCCAATATCGACTGTTACCCTTGCCATCGCAACATCTCGACTAAATTCCCGCCTCCGGAGAGAAGGACTCTCGGCTCGCGAGCTGTGGACACAGCGAGATCAGTTCACTCATAATCAACTTCCCATATGTGATCGCAAAGTAATCCAAGAGCAACATTTACAACGAAAACAAAACCACCCGTATAGTGAGAAATCGAAAAACCGAAATAGGAATGCGTCTGCATCTCCTACAATTAACGTCGGGGACTTGGTTTATTTAGTCGCTGAGACACAACCCCGCAGTAGATACTTGGTCATATCTGTGGAAGATCCATGGTGTGTCATCAAGAAATTTTCAGGTAATCAACTGCGTGCTACATCATATAAAGTTAAAACTACTGATTGCTTGATCGTCCCAAACCGGTCAATATCGAGTACACCGTATCCCCGTCGTGACAGGGACAGTTCCGATGAAGAAGTGTGTGAAGAATGCCCATATCAGACAAGTAACGTTCCGCCCACGTTAATAACCCCAGCCGACAACAGCACCTCGCCAACCACTACTCAGCGCCCTCATGCAAACGCCAGTCTCCAGATTATTATGGATATTAGAGAACAAAGTAGTACGTAAATTGTTTATATTGTAGTTATAGTAACAGTCATCTTTCGTTGACACTAATTTAAGAAGAAGAAGATACCACGCCATATATGGCATATTGATATTGTTTAATTAACAGCAGTAATTATATATTGACATTATCATAAACACCGGAACTTCCGGTTTATCGCTAGTCACTCAATGTGACTGCTTGTACTTCGAGAATACGAATTGCTCTGTAAAAACATACAGTTTTATCGTTCGTTATTTATGAGTCTTTCTTCTTTACTGGCGCTGAGGAAAAGCAACACGACTGTACAGGAATTTATCACACGGTCGAGGGATATACGAATTTTGTATAAGGGATAGACACTCCCAACCATTTAGGTTATGATGGAAGGGGCGTTAGGATTTTTTGTTTTTCAGATTTTGCCATGCTTTGGATCGGCTTTTGCGCCAAAAATATGCGGTTTCTCGGTCTTCGTTGTTTTTCCGTTTTTCAGTATTTGGTTAATTTTCGGTTTACAACCTGGAGTTTGCGTCACAACTTTGCACTAAGATTGGTTGCTAAGGCAGTTTTCAAATAGATCGGCCTCAGACGTAGTTGTTCAACATGAACTCGACCTCTCATGAGTTTACTATATGAGCAAGTTGGTATTGTAAACACGTCCCAATATACTGATACAATAAATTCGCGATTCTTCCCAAAACCACAAACATTAGACAAGACTTTTGGGCATAAAGGTATAATGGCCTAAAGAAGGATGGGTTTGGGAGAAAAAAGGTTGTCAAATTTAGGTTAGGGTTAGATTAGGGTTAGATAAGGGTCAGAACAAGACTAGATCAGGGTGATTAGAGTCGGGGTTAGATTAGGGTTTAGGTTAGGTTTTGTGGTTTTGATGATTTTTTGTGTGATTTCTAATCTGTGATGAGAGGAGATGTTAGTAATATTTTAACTTACAAAACTGATAGACATTAAGTTTTCTGTACATAAAACCTGTTTTGTCTCGTGTTTTTCATTAATGTGGTAAAAAAGTTTGTAACCCTCGCTGCACCTGCGCGCGATTTTCTTTTTCTGATGCATGCGAACAACGGAACAAGTATGTGAGTCATGAGTCATGAATGTTCTCAGCACATATTCCCTCATCTGAGCATTTATTACTCGCCCACTCTTTTACATCCATCAGAAGAAGAAAAGTCGCAGATACCTCGGATCAATTGGGCAATGAGCCTGTTGGGAAATCCGCTGACAATTCAATGAGTGAGAAACTCAATTATAATATAGCATTTGTAAATTCTGAGCGCTGATTGGCTAAGAGCCGTGTTGATATAACTCAATGTCAAAACGGGAAGTCGGAAACGTTGGAAAATTTCTTTCTCAGTATATTCTTTTGTGCTATATTATAAAACAAATATAAAACATTTTTTCTGTATTAATATATAGTTATATCAACACTCGTGGAAATTAGGAAAACTCGAAATTGTGTGAAAACGCTCCGGAAATTGCTAGATAGTATACTTCAAAATAAGGTTTCCGTTTTTATATCAATTTTTTAAATAAGTTAGGGTTAGGTTAGAGTTGGGGTTAGGGTTTAGTTTTCCGTTAGGATGGTTTTTTCTACGTTATAAAAACGGAAGCCTTATAAAAACGGAAGCCTTATAAAAACGGAAGCCGTTATAAAAACGGAAGCCCACACAATTTCTCGTTTTCCCAATTCCCACTCGTGTTGATATAACTGTATATCAACACGGAAAATGTTTTATATTTGTTAATTAATAAACTCCAACACTTTTTATGTATCATATCATGAACGATTGTTTTAAATTAGGCACAGCTTATATGTTCTTTCCAATTTTATTTCTAGATATATAATTGAACTAATACTTTTTCTGTTCTGTTCTGTTCAAAACAGGTCTTCGAGCATTCCAAAACGATGCTTTACAAGCGCACAATAGATACAGACAGACACATAAAGTTCAGGCACTCAAATTAAATCGCGGTCTTAACCGTCAGGCCGGACGTTACGCTCAGAGATTGGCCCAAACTGGATTTTACAAGGTCAAACGTGATCCTTATATTGGTCCGGGAGTTGGCGAAAATCTTTTTGTACAATGTGGCAATCACATCACCGGAAGTGACGTAACAAAGGCATGGTAAGTTCGCTGGGTTTGTGTTTATAATAGACGTTTCCGAGCATTGTGGTTAGACTAATTTTATAGTCTATGTGATATGTTTGTGTGAAATTTCGTTGGATAAGAAATTTTAAAATAATATAGGCCATTGCATTGTCAAGAAAATTCAAACTGACAAAATAGAAATTTTGCCAAACTGAGATATTGTACAAATTATACTCACCATGACATTACATTGCACTAATGACTTTCTGATAAAACTTCACAAAAAAATTCACAATAAAATTTGAAAAACATCCTCGAATATAGAGAATCCATCTCATAAAATGAAACCGCGCATAATTAATGTGTCATGTCAAAAATGTATTTGTACATGTCAGCGTGTTATAAAATTGTTTTAGCTATACAGGGTGTATCAAAAAAAAGGAGACCTTTAGAAATCAAGCATATTGTTAAAATTTGAATGCCTTTTCAGTTGCACATATGCTGAACCGTAGTGCGTGAAATATTGATGGTGCATATATTAGAAAAAGGAGACCTTTAGAATTTGAAATAACGTTTAAACAAAAGATTGTCTGCTCCTGGGAACAATCTGCTATGTGCTTAGCAAAGTGCTCCAGGATTCAAGGTCTCCTTTTTTTTGATACACCCTGTAGAGCGTTTGCACATGACGTCACCGAGTCGCTATGTTGGTGTTCCAATTCAATAGAATTTTAATTAGACTCTTTTGTCTGGAACACGAACATGGCCGCCATGGCTTTTGTTCAGTTGGTCCCTGGGGAATGAGTGCAAACGCTCTATAGAGAGCAATTATACAATTTGACTTCATAGTAAAGATAATTTGCATGTTACCTTGGCTATTGAGCCTCGTTTTTATGACTAGGACGCTGGGCTTGAACTAATATCATGTACTTGAAAACGAGTCTCTATAGCCAAAGCGACGTATGCTTTCTGGAAGGGTGTATTCGGACACATGCAAAGTATTGAACTGTCTAATCATTATTTGTGTTTCACTTGTAGCCCTAAAAGAACTGTCGCTAAATCATTTTTCTGCCGGCATATTTTGTCTTTTGTGTAAAGCGAACTAAACAAAAGTTGACTTATAAGGGATTATATTTTCTAGCTTGAGCGAGTCATCAATATGGCGGATTTATAAGACTTGTAATGCACACAGGAGAAAAAATGAAGACATCGAAGGGAAGATGGCTGTGAAACTCATTAGAATAACAATATTTAGTATAATTACATAGGTGATTATTGAAAATTCTCCACGCTGATTGGTTACCGTTGAGGTGATTATTACGCGATAATCACCTAAGCGATTTTCAAAATGGCGGCTTATTCACCGATAATCACCTCGCCTTCCGCGAATAATTGTTAAATATGACTCATCTATCTTATTCAACATTTTTTTCGTAAATCTGGTCCTTCACCGTCACGTGCGTACAGTATTTTTGCCAAAACCACCAATAGCAATTCCCAATTTACCCTGTTATTCGACTCATGGATAGGTAACTTTCCTAAAACATTGCTGTTGGTTAGTTGGGCAAAAATGCAATACGCACGTGACTGTGAAGGACCAGATTTATGTGAATAAATGAGTTTCACAGCCATCTTGCCTTCGATAGGCTATGGTTTAACCTTGTATTATGTTTGTAGGTACAGCCAAGTTTGCGGCTACAATTTCGACACGCCATCAAAAAGTCGTGGCTACGTGGATTATTTCACGCAACTGGTCTGGCGACCAACATCTCATTTAGGCATCGGTCGAGCTTTCGGCTATACAGATGGCATGAAATGCACGTATGTCGTAGCGAGGTATTTCCCGGCTGGGAATTATCTCGGTCACGAAAGAAAGAATGTGTTCCGTGGACAGTATAATCCTGCGATGTGTGGTGGAGGTTTTGGCGGTGGAGGTTTTGGAGGTGGAGGTGGTCAGGAAGGTGGTGGAGGAGGTGGAGGTTTTGGAGGAGGAGGTGGTCAGGGAGGTGGTCAAGGAGGTGAAGGAGGTGGAGGAGGAGGCGGTCAGGGAGGTGGTGGAGGTTTTGGAGGAGGAGGTAGTCAGGGAGGTGGTCAGGGAGGTGGTCAGGGAGGTGGTCAGGGAGG